TATCTTTTTTTTTTCATTCTGCTCTTGACAGCAAATAAAAATGAATGCAAAAAGAGAAAAAAAACATTATTACAACCAAACTATTCATGTTACGAGTAACACAGACGAAGAAATATGCCTTTTTTCGAACTCACCATCGACTTTATGTATCAGGCATTTTCATTTCACATTGAAGCAAACAGATTATCTAAAAACTATATTCATTGTCTAATCGAAAAATTTTTTTCTCTTGATATGAATGAATATATATTAGAAATATTCGATCCACGTTCGAATAGATACACTAACTTGAGCGAAATTTATATAAATGAACTTCGATCGAATTCTTATTTTAAAACGATTACTTCACACAAAGCTCGACTTCGTCCTCGACATGAAAATCTTCCTTGGATTCAAATTGCTACACAAACTTTGTCATCGAAACTAGCCCAAGAAAGTATGTTTTTTTACATTTTAAAGACAGTTATTTTATTTAAAGATACTCATTACTTATTTAATATTTAATAAACAATATGAACACGAATTCAGTGTATTATAAAGTAACAAATAATGATATAGAATAAGTCTCATTCAGTTGGAATTCAAGAACATTTCGGAAAAGTAACTAATTAAAAAATTTTATTTTCACAATATATTTTTTCATTTTTGACTTGTTAGAAATTAATGTCGACGAGTAGAAAGATTTGAGTTAAGATCAGAATTTTACGCTGCTTTTGTTTTTGAACATAGATCTAGAAAATATCTGTAATTTTTCATTATAAAGTAAACCTCCCCCCCCCCCCCCCATAGAATCCCCCTCTCCAGAATGTTATATACCAGACATATTAGAAGCCCCCCCTTATTTAAAAAACTTTTTGAGAGTTTTTTGAAAACTTTTTTAGTATTTTCACAGCAAAACTTTAAAAATTGCAAAATTTTAAGGTAAAAATGCGTTAAATTCTTAGGTAACCGTCTTAAAATCTCAAAAAGTCCTTCAAAACCCTGAAAATTCTCTTAAGAGTGATTCTCTGAGAAAATCAGTCACTATCAGACATCGACGATGGAGCGACATTCCAGAATTCGCTGATTCTTTGATATGTTATAGAGGATATCGAGTTATGTATATCTTAAAATTTTCAGCTCTATCCGACAAGTTTTGATATCGAAATGACTTAAAAAATGGACTGGATTTTTTTACTATTTTTTCTCATTTTCAGCTGTTTTTGCCAGAATGTCGAGTCACCGCTCTCGATGCGCCAACAATGGATCGATCTAATATTTTTATCTATGAAAGAGCTCATCGAACTCTATCGACTAGGATATTTTTCCTTTTTGGCCCATGAAAAAAAAATTTTCTCGAAATTCCCTAGAAGCGTCAATATAGCGCGATGATTAGTGTTGAATTATGTTGATCCTCTGGTCAGGTTTCTGGGTAATTTTCAGAAAATTTTTTTTTCATGGGCCAAAAAGGAAAAATATCCTAGTCGATAGAGTTCGATGAGCTCTTTCATAGATAAAAATATTAGATCGATCCATTGTTGGCGCATCGAGAGCGGTGACTCGACATTCTGGCAAAAACAGCTGAAAATGAGAAAAAATAGTAAAAAAATCCAGTCCATTTTTAAGTCATTTCGATATCAAAACTTGTCGGATAGAGCTGAAAATTTCAAGATATACATAACTCGATGTCCTCTATAACATATAAAAGAATCAGCAAATTCTGGAATGTCGCTCCATCGTCGGTGTCTGAGTCTCTCAGAGAATCACTCTTAAGACTTTTGAAAAACTTTGGTACCTAAACCTTCGAAAAATCATAGGACATAATAGAAGCCCCCTCTAAAAAACTTTTATGCTGGACACTTTAGAAGCCTCGGGGAGGGGGGTAGTGAATTAATATTTGAAAAACTCAAAAAAACAAAAAATTAGTTTGAACAAAATTTTCAAATAACTTTTTTGTTCATTTTGGTCTTTTTGACAGCAATGCAGACGAGTCAACAGCTGTAGATTCCAACCAAAATTTTATATGAATTTAGAAATGTTGTATCCATATTTTCTCTGAAGTAATGGAAAGTTCTTTGAAAATCTTGAAAAAAATAGTTTTTGAACACTTAGTCAACAGGTCTTTGTTAAGCGTATGAATCTCTTTTACGAGCATATTTTTAAAATGTTCACTTCTGTCATTTTATCGTGGAAAAATTTCACTAAAAATCTTGATATGGAACAAAACTGTAGCATATACTCAATTGACACTATAAATATTTTTTCAAGAATATCGTTCTATATAAAACGAGCTTAGATTAAATATTTGATTTTTCAAAAATAAATTGTTTTTGTTGAAAGACAAATAGAAACCTGAAATAATTCATTTTATAAAGTATTTTTAGATAAAAAAATCGATATATTGGTAAGAATGCTAAACATAATAATGAACATGAAAATATTTTTCATCTTAACTAAGTCACCGAGTTTTTCGAAGATGATTTTATTATTCTCAGAGGAAAATTGAGGAAATTTATCTAAGTATATATTTCGACAGTGTACAGAATTTCAATAATAATAATTTTTTACTTGTCAGGAGTACGTCGAAAATGAAGAAAACATGTGATACTAAAAAAATTTGCCGATCAATGGTCATTCTCTTGTTTAGTTTAGAAAGTCAATTTTTTAAATAATTATTCAGATTTTCAAACACTTACACAATTATTTGAAATTTATCATTCATTTTTGTTAATCTATTATAGAAAAGGTATATTAATAGTTTGAGAGGTATAACAAAAATTCTTCTGAAAATTTTATTTATCACCTTTGTTAAGAAGTATGGCAAAAAGTCATTGCAATATTTACGAATTAAAACAAATACGGACTTTGTAGTATATACAGAAATATAAGACAATTCTACAAAAATTTAATCGAAAGTTAAATTTATTAAATTTAAACAAGAGAAACTGTAAAAAAAGGTTACCTGTTAAAAGCTTAAGAGTTTAAACTGAATCTTAGACAATTATGTTTAATGTAAAATCGTTTGAAAATAAACACTATTTTCTGTGACAATAATATCTTAAATTGAAATCACGCTTCTGAAATTGAAAACTTTCGATTTAGTTATATCAACTTTTTACTATAAACATTCTAATACAAGATTATCTTTGAAATTACTAAGAATCATTAAATTATCATGCCATATATATTTTTAATTCATTTTTATCTATTTAAATATTTTAGTCGACAAGTCGTTTGATCATACATCACCAATATCTAATCATCTGATTGTTTGGCTCGATGCATATATCAGTCATCCACAAAGTAATCGACTACTTAAACGCTATTTTAATACAATTATTAAAATTGACATGCCATCATCGTTTTCTAAAGTGGAAATGGATATTGACAATTTAATAAGAGTTCCTTATTTTTATTCAATCGATAATATTCGATATGAAAATCTGCAAAAAATGCTCTGGATGTTTTCAAATGTTGATGATTGTATAGAATTTATTGATGCACTGTCAAATTTTGATACAACTCTTTTCGTTATTAGTTCTGGTTCTCTCGGTCGCAAACTTGTACCTAAAATTATAAAAAACAACAAGATTTACTCGATCTATATATTTACATGCAATATATTGGCACAAATGGATTGGGCAATCAATTATGTTGATAAAGTTCTCATGTTTAATCATGAGTTCGATTTACTTACTCGATTAGCAAATGATATTGCCGACTATTATGTACAAAAAGCATTGAAGAACATCGAAAACTTACAACTGAGTCTACAATATTTAAATTGGGCTAAGAAGTTACATAGCAAAGCAACTATTGTCAATGGATTAAATAATATATCTGTAAAACTTAAATATCTTGAATCATTTATTGAACAAGTTGAAGCATACTCAGACGATTGGAAAAAATCGCACGATGATGACACAAAGCTTAGTGTTGAATGCGATGGATAATGAAAAAGAAGTTCTTATTTAAGTCGTAGGGTAAAACTGATACTTCTGTAACATGAAACACCAATGTGGAATTGGCAAAGAAATGAATGATTGTTAAATTACAATTATTTAGAAGATTATCCTGCTTGATAATATAGTAGAAGAATCATCAATACTATTTTTACTTCTGTTTATATGAAAAATGTTCAAATGTGTTGCAGTGAAAACCAAACCTACGTTTAATATAATATACATGAAATTCGACATCAATGAATGATACTCGACTTACTTTAAGTCGAACGAAATCGTATTATATTGTGTCAAAAATAAATAAAATCATCTCTTATTCTTTTCGATCTTAGATTTGTATTGTCAAAAATATAAATAGTAAAATCCTTAAAAGACTGCCAGTTAATTGAACATGTTTCAATGAAGTCATTTCATGAAAAAAATTTGATATCTGCATTTCTTTTTTTCGTCAATTGATTCATGATAGAAAAGTAGGATTACAAAAAAATTTTTTGACTAATGTCAAAGGATTCGAACATGAAGGAAGTTTGAAAAGAATAATCATTTTCCTTGCTACATCTTGCGTGATCATAATCTCAGTCATTTATTATCTGTTCGAAGCGAAATACATCTCATTTGAAAGAGAATCAGTGTGAGTTCATAGAAAATTAGATTTTCAACCACAACTAGTCACACTACCTTGAGGATGTGGGTGTGACTATTCTATTGAAGAGTGTGGATGGGTGGGTGGGTGTAGATGTAGGCTTGTGCTTTTCTCTTCATTCTACACCCACATCCGATATCAAGTGTAGTGATCGTCTGTTAAATATGAAATAGGTGAGAGAATGAAAGAAGAAAGAGAAGAATGTTACGTTGTTGTGTTTAAGAGTATTAACAAGATGCATTGCTCCTTGTAGACCTATTTTATTTTTTCACAGTTGAAGTGTGGTTAGTGCCTGTGTAAAAAATGTTAAAAAGGTCAGACAGATTAAAGGCTTACTAGTAAATCTCATGGTTGAACGTTTTTTTAAATGTCGAATATAGAAAAAAGTTAATAGAAACTTATGCTATATATAATTTTCAGGAGAACAGTACGCACTGATATTGCCTAGTATATAGATCATTACGATGAATGCAAAATATTTATAATAAATCTCCTAAATCTCACAAGAAGTTCTGGTTTAGAAAACGAGTTGGTACGTATGCTGAAGACTGAATAGGTTTTTGAGCAGTCAATAAAAGTTTAAACTAGTTATTACTTAAGAAAAACGACAGTTTCCGATTATTAGAGATTATGATTCCTTCTCCATTTGCTCATGACAATACCACATTGATCAGTATATTTTTCTGTAGGGTGGTATAGTTGTGTGAATCTGTCACATTGTTCGAAATGTTTAATAGACAAGCATTAAACTAAGATCAATAACTTGTTCTATTGACTTGAGAGAAATAGAAACAAAACAACAATATAGAGATGAAAAGAAATGTACAAGAATAGTAACAACTTGAGTATATGTATGTGTGATGACTCATCAGAAGGAGGTGAAAGAAAAGAAAAACAACATAATACAATAATATATGTCATTATATGATACAATCATTTTAATTACCATATATAGTATTAAAATACTCTTCATATATTGTGCTTTTAGACATTGGAGTAATGTTTTCAAAATATATGGTTTATCACAAATATTCAAATTGAACAGTTTTTACATTAGCTTTTTTATTTTATCTGATACTCATTCTCAGAGGCAATTTTTTTTTCAGTATGGTTCTATCTAGAACATTTTGAGATTAACAATAGAAATCATAAACAGAGTTGGAATATCTTGTCAAAATGAATAATATTTTGAATATAACAAAAATAAGACGTTGAGATACAGAAAAAGTTTACCTTGTATCGATGATAGTTGTTCATGATCGTATTAATACGTTTACAAATGTTTCGCATTGTACAAAATATACTGAAATCGTCAAGATAATCAAGAATTCGGTAGATAAGTTCTTTTGGTAAGGTATAAAAGGGATGGTTCAATTTTGTCAATTATTGTAGAACTGTTGCAATGTTTGTTCTTTGTATAATGCGTGTGGTTGAATGTTTTCTTTCATTTTAAATATTTATATTTGTTCTAATTCATAAAGTTTTTCATGCTCGTGCAATTACTTGTTGACACGTCACATTGCACATGACTGAGTAACGACAATGATCAAATGTAAGGTGTGTCAGAAAATGTAGACCAACGTCATGGGCCTCTCGATCACTAAGCTTCACACTATTGAACTAACTATGTAGAAATCGATATAATAAAAATAAAATACTCCATGGTTTTTTTCTTAATTGTAAAATATGTAAAAATTTTTGTATTGAAGTCAAATGTATTATACTTTTGAAGAATATTCATGAAAAATAGCTTACTGCTCTTCTCTTTCAAACAAAAAAAAAATTATTAGATTAAGTTTGATCAATAAGGAATTACTGTTGTTTAAATACAACATTTTGTTTAATGTAATATACAAGAATAGGATCGAAGTGAAAAATTTGTAGCAAACAAGTGTTATTTTCTAAGGATAATGAATTGCCAGAGATACGATCTGTCTTATTTATTTGTTCATTTCAAATAGAATTTTTTTACTGATACTCTTTAGAAACATTAATATTAATTATTGCTTAATGTTATAATTATATTAGTTCACACTTTTTATATTGATCAAATGATGCTTGTAGCAAATCATAGCACTATTAATCATCATCCTTGATATCCTGAATATAAATTTCTATTTGTACAATAATCAAAACTTGTACTATTTAGAACGCTCACAAACATATTCCAGTCATTCAATTATTGAGAAAGGCTGTAAGATACTATAGAATAATCTTTGTCTTTTCGTCAATGCCTTTGTTCTGTTACTAAGGAGGGCGAGTCACACAACCTTGACTTAATAGCCATAATGTGAGTTCCACAAAAAGTTAGTTTACTATATAAAAAGAAGAAAAAATGCTAAGTAAATCAAGCATAAATAAATATTGACTGTTCAATGAATTTTATGTAATCGATGAAAATAAATCGAATAAAGAAAGTAGAAAATCAAAAATTGTTCATACATATGCGTTATTGAAAGGTGAATCTATCCTGCAACATGTGTCGTTAAGTTAGTCATAAGTTCGTCAAATAGAGTAGTGTTTTGGATTCGATACAGATCTTGTTCCAAGTAAATGCAAAAGTTCTTTCACCTATAAATAAAACAAAAGAATAATAACAAATAATAAACAAACAGTTTGATATTCATATCGATCTTGATCAGCTATTTTTTGTTTTCCTTCTGAATCAAGTTATTGCGAGAATTATACAATAAACAATATAAAATATTCTTTGTTCGTTTTTGTCCATGTGAAAATAGAAAAGGTTATTAAGTACGACTGAAAGTTTTCCGCAAAAATTATCCAATTTACAAGTGAAACAAAGAAATCGTCAATTTTCAGTAATAGTTGATATTAGTAAAATAGAATAAGCTCGCTAGATTTATATTTTATACATTAATTGTAAACATGAAAAAAAAATACAAATAATATTAAACACAAATACAAATGAAGAATCCATTGAAGATCATTCATTGAAAGAATTGTGCAACAAATAATAGGCTAGTTATTGCTGCCAAAAATTTGATAGTTACTGTAATTGTTGTTGCTCCATTACATAAACCGTCTTTACAATAATATTTCATTTTATCAGTAAGTGTACAATCAAGACCACCACTGCTTCGACTTTCAATACCCAACGCACTCGTTTTCTACAAAGAATAGTACCAAATCTAAATCTTCAATAAAGAAAAATTTTTTAAATTTATATATGTATATACTTGACAGTAATCATTGTCCCCAAAGGTAACTTTGCTAAACCCTCTTTATTTCCCTGGAATGGTTTAGGACATGCAGTACATTCATAGCATTGTCTAGCAATACTTCCAATAATAACTACGTTAAGAAAAAAAAGATTTTAATCATATTCAAAATGCACGATTTAATAAAGAATATGAACCCGATAGTTACAAGAAAGTAATGAGAAGTTTGCTGTTCATATTGAGTATCAATATATATAAATACGTATATAAGAGCACATGCTGGAAAAGGAATGAAATACCACCTTATATATGATTGATGTTATCTATTCCCTTATAAAGACAGAGATAGAGAAAGAAAAAGTCATTATTATATGTATATAAGTGATTGATGAGTTGTTCTTACTCTACGAACTTAAAGGTCATATGTGATATAGTCAACTAATACGATGATACTTGAAGATGAGTTACTTTTTTTTTCTATATATAGTGATAGAAATTCGCGAAATAAGATGAGCACAAAAGAAAGTTATTTGGTAGATTACATAAAACAAAAGTGAAAAGATATACGTAATTCTATGTACACAATTTTTTACGATTACTGAAAATTTCTTTTGATCAAATATTTCTACTTTATTATCGATTATAAACATACATTCTTTTTTTTTCATTCAAGACGTAACATGATAGTTTTTGATATCTCCGAAATCTCAAAATATTGTGTTGCAATAAAGGTTTTAGACTTTTTTTAAAATTATTTTATTATTGAAAATAAACTCTAAAAGAAATCGATAGTAAATCAATATGTAGTTACTCGAAAGATAATACATGGATACACAATAAGATTTGCATAATGAAACACAAAAAGAGAAGAAAACAAACAATGAAAAAGACGATTGAGGGTAATCAAGGACGAGTAAAATAAAAACACGTGTCAAAGACAAGGATATGGAGAGATATTTAGTATGATTATGAATAGGACTCATATTAAGAGGGTGGAAATTTTTTATTTTGTGTACTCCTAATATAGGGTGTGTGGGTGGGTGTGGGTGTGGGGGTGGGGGTGTGGGTGTGGGGGTGTGGGTCGGTGTGGGTGTGGGTGTGAGTTTGGGTGTTGTTCTTTTCTCCATTCCTGCACCTACACCCACACCCACAGCCACACCTCACACCTC